AGAGAAAGAGCAGGTGTAAAGGTCCTGAGACAGAACATGCCTCTTCAGGAGGACGGGCCATGAGGCTGGAGCCCAGTGAGCAAGAGAGAGTGTGTTAGGATCAGAGTCAGAACCATAGAGGCCCCAAGGCTCGGGAAGTCCCTGCAGATTCCACCAGGAGAAGGACCTGATCTATTTAAAGTGTAAATCATCTCTCTGGCAACATGAGGATAATTGACAGGAGGATTTCTACTGTGGAATGAAGGAGTCCCTATGCTATCTCACTGTCTCCAGCAGAACCGGCAGGATGAAGGCCCCCAGGGAGTGACATACACCCAGGTGAACCGCTCCAGACCAAGACCCAGGCAGCGAATGGCCACCTCTCTTTCACCTCTGTTGGGGGGATTGCTGGACACAAGGGGCAGACAAGCAGAAGAGGACAGACAGATGGACAGTCAGGTGGGTTCCGTCCTCTCCAGACCTCTAGGTTTTCCCCAACCCCCACCATGTTTCATCCCTCTCTCTCCCCCTGCTCCAGGCTGCTGCACGTGATACCCCAGAGTATGTGACCTACGCCCAGTTGAACCTTCTGGCCCTCAATGAGAAGACAACTGCACCCCATTTCTCCACATCTGATGAGCTCCCAGATGAGCACATTGTGTATGCTTCTCTGTCCATCCACTAGCCCAGGAAGGACCCAGACCTCACATTTCAGGAAGGGGACGTGCATATACCTGGAAAGGCCAGAAGGCTGCCCCATGGACACTCAGCTAGTGCCCCAGGCTGGAAGCCTGATGTGGAACACCCAAAGCTCCTGGGGCCTCTGGGAGTCTCCAGGTTTATAGTCAAAGATAACCTGTATCTCTACCTTTTGCAAATAAAGCAACTGAATTATCAATAATAAATGTGTGAACCAAAAATAAGTGAATATTTTAAACTATATTATAATGTAAACTAGTGGCCTGGTGCATGAATTCTTGCATGGGTAGAGTCCCTCAGCCTAGGCAGCATTTGAGGACATGGGGGGTGGGCAGCCTGCTGGAGGAGAGGGGGAGGGACCGCGGGAGGTTGGCCCCAGCAGCAAGCTAACCAACGGCCAATTCCACCAGGAATCGGGCCCCCTCCTCCCTCCTCTCTGGGTCCAGGGTGCGGGTGAACAAGATTCAAGGCCATCAGGGCCCCAGCAGCAAGGTCTGGGTCAGTGCGCATCATAGCAACTGGGTGGTCATCCAGTCGTTCCGGTTGTTTGGTCATAACAGTCACTTAGGCTTTTATGTAGATAGATAGCAGACCTATGAAATAAGAAAACTGAAAACCGTGAATAAATATATTGGAAAAAGGAAAAGCCTTAAATATTCAATGTCCTAAGCTATTATATCAAGAATTAAAGGCCTGTAGTGGGGGCTGGGTGGAGGGGGAAGTGGAGGGAAATAACGGACATCTGTAATACTGTCAACAATAAAAATAAACCAAAAAAAACTTAGAAAAAAAAAGATTGCATTGAATCCTAGATGGCTGGATATGCAAGAGCCTCCCTAATGGGACTGGGCCCAGAGGGTCATGTCATGTCAAGGGGAGGTGGGTGCCCTGGGTGGGCAACCAGGTTCCTCAGGTGATTTTGGTCTGCCCTGCCCTCTGTGACCTGTTTACCTACAATTCTTAGTTTCCCACCCCCATGACTAAACTGTGGGGATGTGCCCCCCTCCACCCGGTTCCTGCCCCACCCCAGGCCTTTTGTGAAGGTCTGACCATTCAACCATACAGGATGTGGTTCTGCAACAATTTACATGTAATTGTGCGTGTTACTGTCCTTGAAGAAGAACAGTCCCATCCGGATGGGTGTGGTTGCCTTGCTCCTGGCGATGTTCGGGGTGCTGCTATTTCTGGCTCGAAACAGCCAGAGAGGGACCCACAATGCCGCCAGCTTGTGAATAGAGAGGGATCAATGCACGGTTCAGAGAGGGCTCACCTTGGAACCCATCTAAATGTCTCAGGCTGTGGTGGAAGAGAGTCAGAGGAAGACAGGAAGTATTGTGGGGTCCGGAGTAGGTATGAGGGACCGACCCCGAGTTTGTAGAACTACCTGCTGATTTTTCTAGTGGAATCAACATGGTTTGGGTGCACAAAAATATCTGTGGGCTCCCTGTACAAGCTTCTTCCTCCGTTAAATGTGTATTTTCTCTCTGTGTCTTGGTTGACTTTCTGTGATGACCTTCCTCTTCTTTCCTCACCCCTGTGACTTGAGGGTCCATCCCACATGGCAGGGGTGGGTCCTCACATCTAATACCACATGCTCTCCTTCACTGTTATTTCTGCTTAGAAAATTACATTTATTGTGGTGAACCTTGTTTAATAAATTGCACAAGTTTTGAATGTACAACTCTATAGTACCACATCTATATATTTTTTTATGGGTTACCATGTTATTTACTTTTTATCACCACATGATCAGATGGGCTTTGTTGAGTCTTCTCTTCAGTTCACAGGACTTCACCTGAATTCAGTAACTAAATAACTCAGGCAGTGTTGCTCAGTGGTTGAGTGTCATCCTATGAACCAGGAGGTGATGGTTCAATTCTGGTCAGGGCACATGCCTGGCTTGTGGGCTCAATCCCTAGTAGGAGGTGTGCATGAGGCAGCTGATCGATGATTCTCTCTCATCATTGATATTTCTATCCCTCTCTCCCTCTTCCTTCCTCTCTGAAATCAATAAAAATATATTTAAAGAAATTAACTAAGTGGGCAGAATTAGATACAAACCTAGGAAAGAGAAATTTAAAATGATGCCTCACACTCACTCTGGACCCCACAATACTTCCTGTCTTCCTCAGATGACACAGGATATTGGGGTTTAATCATTGTTTACATTTTTTTGGTCAGAAATTGCATTTTTTAAAAATATATTTTATTGATTTTTTACAGAGAGGAAGAGAGAGTGATAGAGAGCTAGAAACATTGATGGGAGAGAAACATCGATCAGCTGCCTCCTGCACACCTCCCACTGGGGATGTGCCTGCAACCAAGGTACATGCCATTGACCAGAATCGAAACTGAGAACCTTCAGTCTGCAGGCCAACGCTCTATCCACTGAGCCAAACCGGTTAGGGCAGAAACATTGCATATTTGTCATTCACTTGTAATACATGGTGCACATGATCTTCATAAACAACCTCACCAGCACAGTCCATTTCTATATTTCCCTCTTGTCTTGAAGACATACCCAATCCCCTTGTATGGTGGACGGTGCCAGTGTGATCTGTTTCCACCTTGCTTTCTCTCATCTTCCCCCTTCAGAGAGTCCCTATGTCTGTTATGATATCTGGATGTTTTTTTCTTTGTAGAATGTTCCCCCCTGCCCCTGAGGACTTCACCTCCTCAAACAGCCACCGTTCCCTCAACCACAATCTAGTCCTGGGCCCAGTTGTTCTAATATTTTCTCTCTCCTCTCCTTTGTACATACATTAATTGCAACATGAACCTTTGAATGCTCAAAGGCTGCTAATCTGAAGTTTCCAAATCCAGGAAATGAGTCTTTGTCAATTAGGCATTTCTGGTGACTGGAATAAATACTGGTAGAAGGTGATGAGTAAATCTTTGCATATGGCCTTGCTAAAGGCAGAAATTAAATTTTTATAAAATATTTATTAATTAATTATCTTCATTGTTGAGAGCATTACAGATGTCCCCCACTTTACTTCTAATTGCCCCCCCTCCACCCAGTTCCTGCCCCACCCCAGGCCTTTTGTGGAGGTCTGACCATTCACCCATGCAGGATGTGGTTCTGCAACAACTTACATTTAATTGTGGGTGTCACTGTCCTTGAAGAAGAACAACCCCTAAGCTTAAGCCTAACCCTAACCCTGTCATAAATCATATGTACAGCATAGACCCATGTTTATATTTCCTTTTTATATAAAATTCAAGGAACATAGGATAAGCTACATATCTGTATGCCCAGCAGAAGGTGGGGGGTGGAGCTGTCCACATCCCGGTGCTGAATTCGCATCCACCCTCCCAGGATTAACATACAAAGTGAGAGGTAATTAGGGGAGAGGGTGGTGGTCCATGGTCTTAAGGAAAACCTGATAGATACGCATGCATGTTGTTGGTCAAGATTAGAGCTGTTGTGAATCAGCACAACCTCCTGAAACCAGGAGAACTGTCCTGACGTGCGGACGCTCTGACGACAACTTTGAATTTACTTTGCGGTGTTGGGTTGGTGCTGCCCATCCATCAGGAAAAGTGCTAAATTCCCGTGAAAGGTGCTAGAGCAGAGCTCTTTTAAAAAAGGATATTTTTATTTGAAAAATATTTTTTTATTGATTTCAGAGAGGAAGGGACAGGGAGAGAGAGAGAGAAATATCAATGATGAGAGAGAATCATTGATTGGTTGCCTCCTGCATGCCCCATACTGGGGATTAAGCCTGCATCCTGGGCATGTGCCCTTGGCCGGAATCAAACCCGGGATCCTTCAGTCTGCAGGCTGATGCTCTCTATAGCAGGGTTCTTGACGATTTATTCTTCAGCTGCTAAAGCGAAGCTCAAGAGGCAGGTGTTATCTTTAAGGGGGAAGGTATGTTAAAAACCTTAAAGATTGCAATGGGAAACACCTGTTCAGG